TGTTACTGCTGGCTGCACACAAACCAACGTACAAGCCACAGCCCGGCTGTGTTATAGAGCATGTACTATCAAACTGTTTGGTTATGTAGGTGTAACGTTTGAAAACTTGTTTTGTGAGAGGGAACCTTGGAAGATTAAATGGTTCATGTGATTAATCATTTTAAGAGCTGCAAGAACAGTTACAGGTGGACCCCACAACTTATGAATGAATCATGTTTCTGACCTTTCAACCTGTAAATGAATTCTTTGTATTGAAAATAATCATACATGGGTGGTGGTTTCACATGTGTGTACTACCACTCAGTAGTTGTAAAACAAAAGTTTGTGCCTAAGTTCCTCTTGCTGATTAGTGAGTAATTTGTGGTATTTGTAAACCTCTGACTGTGTACAGCCTCTCCTCACTTAGCGACATACTCGTTTACCAACAACTCAGACTTATGATGGGCTCTCTGACCAGTATGCATACCTAAATAATGTATATTAGAGCTCATTCCCTCTATTCTGTTTATTACAATATACAGTACACTACTGTATAAACATTCAAAAATATACCATAAATGTTATAAATGGTGCAAAGGTGACATTAAAACAATATCAAAGATGGTTGTCACAAACCCACTACCATTATAATATGCTCCTCACTGAGCGATGACTTCATTTACCGATGTGGTTTTAGAAATGGAACTCTGTTATTAAGTGAGGAGAGGCTGTATTTTATTTTCTGATCCAGATGTAGAATTATACCTCATTTAAGAATTTAAAGTTATCTCTATATATAATATCAATACTACTGTTTTTTTATTTATTTTCAGTTAATGTGGCATAAATGAGGGGCTGTTGTTATACAGTATTAATCTTATCCACTATTTAGTATGAAAAGGGCATTACAGATATGTAATAATTTAATATGTAAACCATGGATGTCATGAGTGGTTTAGATAGATAGGTTTAAATCTGTAAGAATTACTTTTGGAAAGCATGGAGCATGCATTGTAGGCATGATTCTCCTTTAATTTTTTTATAGTAATTACTTATTGCATGTAGATTATTAGTATAACTTGCACATTGTATTGACTCTATTTAATATATGCACTAAGGCACTTGAGTTCTACTGACTTCTTGCAACCTGAGCAAGTTTGATTTCTGCCTATTTGATGGGATAAAGATTTTAGCATTAGTGAGGATAACAATTTAACTTGGGTGAAATTAATATTTTTATTTGCTTAAAGAGTCAGTAGAACAGAAGTTTAAATGATGCCATATATTTAGTGTTTTCACAATCACATTCTCTAAGTTGGATGTGTGATGTATTTTCTATGCACAGAATATTAGTTTTCCTTTAGTCATATTCTTTTTTTTTTTTTTTATTTCATATTCTTCTTCAGACGATGTTGACTCAGGTAAATATTGACTGCATGTTCTGTCAGTGGATATATTGAAATATAATTCTTATATGTACATGTATATATCTTCACCAGCATGAATATTTTGTAGTTTGACTTATGTTTACTCTGTTTAATTATTATTTATTTTTTCTTGGTTGCTTGAATGTTTGTATGCTGTATTATATTAAAGATCTTGAACATATAAAGTAATGCTTTGTGTTAAATACAGTATAGCACAAAAAAGTTAAATCTTCATATATCTACATTCTTATGAATAAAATAATAATGTGTATAACTACAGTATTGCACAGATTATACTGTCAGGTCTTGCCAAACACAAATAATTAGTTAGTAGTAATCTGCATATCAGGGTTTAATTTTTTATTAATGTCGCCAGATCGTGTTACTGGCCTTCTGGTGCCCAGAGGAAAACGGGACACCCTCTCCAGGTAAAATTTTACTCACATAACTGTATACTGGTGCTCCTTGACTTAAAATGATTTGACTTGTGATATTTCAACTTTACGATGGTATAAAAGCAATTATTCTAGAGATGAAAATTCAGATAGTTACCTAGTGTGAAGGTGGCAAATCTGTAACTTGTATTCATTTATTTACTTTTTCATTACTGGTATTTAGATAGCTACAGTAATTATTTGTTTATTTACTAATTAAGTGACTAGTTATTTATTTACTAATTTATTCAGCATATATTCACGTTCGACTTACTTTCAGTAATTACCCGAAGCCTTTGTATGAGATTTCCATATATTTTATGCATGGATTCCGAGACAGTAATCATTAAAATTTATGTATGTTAAAAAAAATTGTCATTTAGTCTATATGAGAGGCTGTAATACATTAGTATTTAAACTAGGCCAAAGAAGTAAAAAAGAAATACTCTTACAGTGGAACCCCAAATATAGGCCACTGCGTTTATCGGCAGGTTTGTATTTAGGTCGGTTTTTGCGCCGAAACTTTGCTCCATATTTTGGCCAGTTCCTTGTAAATCAGCCCGCCTACCTCCGGGACACTGCTGCATAGGTGAGTCAGCCTCACTGTGTCTCAGTGAATGACCTTATACTCCACTTAAGTGCGACTGTGAAATAAGCCACCATGGGCCCAAAGAAAGTTCAGAGTGTCAGCCGTTTGGTAAATAAAGTGAGAAACATGATAGAATTTAAGAAAGAAGTTACTGAAAAATATGAGTGGTGTTCAAGTGCTAAAAGTTGCCAGGCATGCATGCAGGGAGTGTAGCAGGGAAACAGGGAGTATGGCAGGCATGCAGGGAGTGTAGCAGGGAAACAGGGAGTATGGAAGGCATGCAGGGAGTGTAGCAGGGAAACAGGGAGTATGGAAGGCATGCAGTGAGTGTAGCAGGGAAACAGGGAGTATGGAAGGCATGCAGGGAGTGTAGCAGGGAAACAGGGAGTATGGAAGGCATGCAGTGAGTGTAGCAGGGAAACAGGGAGTATGGAAGGCATGCAGGGAGTGTAGCAGGGAAACAGGGAGTATGGAAGGCATGCAGGGAGTGTAGCAGGGAAACAGGGAGTATGGAAGGCATGCAGGGAGTGTAGCAGGGAAACAGGGAGTATGGAAGGCATGCAGTGAGTGTAGCAGGGAAACAGGGAGTATGGAAGGCATGCAGGGAGTGTAGCAGGGAAACAGGGAGTATGGAAGGCATGCAGGGAGTGTAGCAGGGAAACAGGGAGTATGGAAGGCATGCAGGGAGTGTAGCAGGGAAACAGGGAGTATGGAAGGCATGCAGGGAGTGTAGCAGGGAAACAGGGAGTATGGAAGGCATGCAGGGAGTGTAGCAGGGAAACAGGGAGTATGGAAGGCATGCAGGGAGTGTAGCAGGGAAACAGGGAGTATGGAAGGCATGCAGGGAGTGTAGCAGGGAAACAGGGAGTATGGAAGGCATGCAGTGAGTGTAGCAGGGAAACAGGGAGTATGGAAGGCATGCAGGGAGTGTAGCAGGGAAACAGGGAGTATGGAAGGCATGCAGGGAGTGTAGCAGGGAAACAGGGAGTATGGCAGGCATGTAGGGAGTGTAGCAGGGAAACAGGGAGTATGGAAGGCATGCAGGGAGTGTAGCAGGGAAACAGGGAGTATGGAAGGCATGCAGTGAGTGTAGCAAGGAAACGGAGTATGGAAGGCATGTAGGGAGTGTAGCAGGGAAACAGGGAGTATGGAAGGCATGCAGGGAGTGTAGCAGGGAAACAGGGAGTATGGAAGGCATGCAGGGAGTGTAGCAGGGAAACAGGGAGTATGGAAGGCATGTAGGGAGTGTAGGAGGGAAACAGGGAGTATGGAAGGCATGCAGGGAGTGTAGCAAGGAAACAGGGAGTATGGAAGGCATGCAGGGAGTGTAGCAGGGAAACAGGGAGTATGGAAGGCATGTAGGGAGTGTAGGAGGGAAACAGGGAGTATGGAAGGCATGCAGGGAGTGTAGCAAGGAAACAGGGAGTATGGAAGGCATGCAGGGAGTGTAGCAGGGAAACAGGGAGTATGGAAGGCATGCAGGGAGTGTAGCAGGGAAACAGGGAGTATGGAAGGCATGTAGGGAGTGTAGGAGGGAAACAGGGAGTATGGAAGGCATGCAGTGAGTGTAGCAAGGAAACAGGGAGTATGGAAGGCATGCAGGGAGTGTAGCAGGGAAACAGGGAGTATGGAAGGCATGTAGGGAGTGTAGGAGGGAAACAGGGAGTATGGAAGGCATGTAGGGAGTGTAGCAGGGAAACAGGGAGTATGGAAGGCATGCAGTGAGTGTAGCAAGGAAACAGGGAGTATGGAAGGCATGCAGGGAGTGTAGCAGGGAAACAGGGAGTATGGAAGGCATGTAGGGAGTGTAGGAGGGAAACAGGGAGTATGGAAGGCATGCAGTGAGTGTAGCAAGGAAACAGGGAGTATGGAAGGCATGCAGGGAGTGTAGCAGGGAAACAGGGAGTATGGAAGGCATGTAGGGAGTGTAGCAGGGAAACAGGGAGTATGGAAGGCATGCAGGGAGTGTAGCAGGGAAACAGGGAGTATGGAAGGCATGCAGGGAGTGTAGCAGGGAAACAGGGAGTATGGAAGGCATGCAGTGAGTGTAGCAAGGAAACAGGGAGTATGGAAGGCATGCAGGGAGTGTAGCAGGCAGGGAGGGACATAACCCCAGAGAGGGCTTTGATACCTGAGGTTCTTATGGAGGGGGATTCCTCTTCCAAACAATAATCAGTCCTCCCCTCTCCTCCTTCCTGTCATCCATAAGCCAACAAGTCTTCAATAAAGGTACATAATAGTGATTTAAATGTTCACTTATTTATTTTATTTAGTTCTCATTGTTTTGTGTATGTAAAACTATAATTAATCTTTAAAAAATGTATTTTTTGTTAATATTTTTGGGTGTCTGGAATGGATTATTGTATTTATATTAATTCTTATGGGAAATATTGCTTCAAATTTAGGCCTTTTCGAATTTAGGCTGACCGTCTGGAACAGATTACGGCCTATATTTGGGGTTCGACTGTATTCAATTTGTTGTTCACTTTTCACATTGTCTCTGTAGCTGCCCCTTCAAGTGGGGGTTCCTTGATACTGTTGAAGGGCTCTTGATCTAAGGAATTGAAGCTACTCTCTTCTGTGGATCAAATCTTATTACATCCCATTCCCTTGTGAATGAAACACTAATTTTTGAAATTCTGTTTCTGTGCTGTGACCCTTGTTTAATATTCTTTTAAATAAACATTTCTTTTGTTAATTCAGGAAAAAGCGGTTTGCTGTTCCACTTCTGAAAGCTGCAGAGAAAAATGGAACAGCAGGTGCTGTAATGAAAGATGAAGCTCATGCTGAGCCAGAGGCAGAAGCAGAAACAACGGCCGAGCCAAATGCAAAGGCAGAACCAGAGCCAGAGGCTGAAGCTGAGCCTGGTTAGTATATCTGTGCTTCAGTATAAGCATGCCTTAGCCAGTCTACAGATTCTACTCATGTTTAGTTATTTGGATAAAATAATTGTATTTATGTTCACACACATCTGGAAAGTCAGTCTATTTTGACTTATGAAATCGTAATAATGCGATTGCAAACATTGTATATACGTATAGTGATTCCTGTATATATAATGATCCAGCCATAGGGGGGTTGCTTTAAATATCTTTGTTTTCAACTAATGGTTAATTTTCACTATTATACTGAACAGTGACACAAAAGCATGACAATTTAAGAAATTTCATATATGTATTGAAGAATCATACATTTCTAAAGATGATTTTTTTTTTATTTTTTTCAGCATCTTATGATATTTAAGCCCCAAAATTGAAATCCTGACTTTAGCCACCACTAGAGTGCAATCTGGCTGTGCTACTGTGCATATGCTAAATACAGTAACATAAAAGAAATATACAACATACAGTTTCATGTTTCATTACAACTTCTGTAATTTTCTTTGAATGAATATACAGTATGTTCTTTTTATCTTATTTACATGGGTATACTGTGTATTTCATCACTATCACTAGAAAGACTATGAGTAGTTACTTATAAAGGAGGCTGCATATAATGATATCACCCATTCATGTTTTTTTTTTTTTTCAGAGCCTTTGAGTGGTGATTCACCTTATGTACCTAAAGGTGATTTTCATGCTATGGACTGCACAGATATTGTTATTGGCTCTGCGGTTGGACATCATTACCGTATTGATGATTATTACACCCGTGACCGCTCCACTCCAAAGGTGGATAGTTACTGGGGTGGTGACAGTTCGCTCACTGCAGCGCTGGGTTGGGAGGCTGATGGGGTAACGACAATATTGTTCAGGAGGAAACTTGAAGGTAAGAAGGTTTTGTTAATTCTTTGCAGTCTTACATTTTGTTTTAGTAATTTTCTTTTATGTTAAATTTGCTTTATAAATTGCAACCATTGTCCTGTGCACAGCGAGTTGCAAATTACAGTGGTACCTCGGGATACGAACTTATTTCATACCAGAAGGCTGTTTGAGTGCTGATACCGAATGAATTTGTTCACACAAGGAATAATATAAATTAGATTAATCCATTTCAGACCCCCAAAAATACACTTGCAAAAGCACTTACATAATTGTTCGAGTTTTGAGCTGTTCGTATCCCGAGGTACCACTGTACTGTGTTTAGATTTTCTAGATGAAAATACTTTATTATTATTAATTGTCCTTGAAAAAAGGGGCTACCTTTGAGGGTTGGATTTATTTGTTATTTCTCTTCATCCGTTGTTTCTGAGTGATAACTTCAGAATGCCTCTCATTAGCAACAGTTTAAAGTTTGATGGAGAAGCTGTAATGTGTCTGCTTCATGCACATAAGGTTGGTAGGTTCAGTCCTTCACAATTTAGCAGTGGCTTTATCTAAGTTTAATACCTGATATTAACAGTGTTACATTAGAGATGATACTGAGTGTTGATATAAATTAAGACTGTCTGTTTTTTTCTTGAGAGAGACACTTATTCCTAGTAATTTTAGAATGCATAAGTATTTCTTAGTTTGTGTTAGTTGTTTGTGCAGTATGTCAGTCTGTAACAGAGAAGTTTGTGCAGTATGTCAGTCTGTAACAGAGAAGTTTGTGCAGCATCTCGGTCTGTAACAGAGAAATTTGTATAGGATGTCAGTCTGTAACAGAGAAGTACCTGTATTTTCCTTTTGCAGAGCGAAGGAATCTTCAGCCTCTTTAATAAACATTAACGATAAGATATTATATGTGAAAGGATTCAGGGGAACTAGGTAGTTGGACTTTGAGTCCTGCAAGTAGGAAGTACAGTGCCTGCACTCTGAAGGAGAGGTGGGGATGTTGTAGTTCAGAGGGTCATCTGACCTGTAATGTAGCATGCTTCTGGGAAGATGGTGATTGAATGAATGGCGGTAAAAGTTGGTGATTGAATGAATGGCGGTAAAAGTGTTTCTTCTTTCTCAGGTCCCCCTGCCTCAGTGGAAGATGGCCAGTATGTTTAAAAAAATTATATGAAGTAAGATATCAAAGCAATAATTAAGATATTGTTTCCACAGCCTCCCATCCAACTGACCACAGCATTACAAACTCTCTCATGCATGTCATCTGGGCTCGAGGACAAGAGGCAGGAATGTATGTTCACTCTCCCACCTCTGGCTTGGAGTCAGGCTCTGCCAGTGTACCGGATTTCTATCGACCCGACGAAATAAAGTACCATGGCAAGAAAGGCCAAAGAGGTGTAGTCTCAATGAACTTCTTAGGTAAGTTTTTAAATATTAAATATTTTTAATTTTGAAGATTTTATAACACTGAGTATTAGTAGAAATTTTAAGTGCTTGTTCTCTCCCTCCAGAGATAAGGAAGAGATGCTAAAATACAGTATAATTCTGAATTATTTTATAGACGAAGTATATAATGACAGCATAAGTCGAATGAAGATATTAACTGGGTCAGGGTTTTAGGATTATTGAAGTAGTTTGGATATGTAGAAAAGATAAAGTAAAATAGGTTGATTAAGAGGGTGTCTAAATTTGACAATTGATGGAAGGGGTTTTTGATGTTTGAGGAAGGGTTAGAAGGAGGGTGTCAGTCAAGTAACTCATTACTTGACTGACACCAAAGACACTAAAGAATCCAGTTGATATATGTGAGCATGCTAGATCAGAGTGAGGGATAACAACTGATCTTTGAGATTTGGCATGCTGAATGGATTCAGGTATAGCAGTTAGCTGAAGTTGAATTTCGGGTACAGGAAATCACTTGCTCAATATTTATTTCCATGTGATGCATCGTCCATACAAAATTGGATGGCATTACATTGATCACCTGGAAATCCCATAATATTGCAGAGTATTTTCAAGGCAATGCTTATGCATCATTAATTGAGTGAGGAGGAGGATGCTCAATAGGGCATCATTGAATCAGAGGATCAGTGCCCTTTAGGAAACACATCTAGTGTACAAGTAACACTGAATGTACTCTTCTGTAGGTCACCTGCCTTCGTGAAAATGGATACTGTATGAATACTGTACCTACTTATATTTCTTATTCACTACAGATTTTTTTAATTGTAAATGTATTGAAGTACTTTGCAAAAAATCAATATTATTATTTGCTTTAAATTTACAGAAAAAATATCTGTCGCATCTTCGGCAAATAAGGATGAAATTAACTGGTGTGGCAACCACTGGAAATACCCAGGAAATTGTAAACCTGGTATAGATTGTGAGTACTATGCCAAATGGGAATATTTTGAGGCAACAGACGATATCAAATTTACAATCCAGACGTCGCATAACGACCGTTGGACTGGTATTGGTTTTTCGGACAATACTAGAATGGTCAGTATATTTTAAGCTACTGCATGTTGTTTTTAATATTACCTACATAAGAGATGTATATAATATGAACACCTGTTTATCCAAATTAATTGTGGCCGGGTTCTTGATGTGTGATGATTTTTTTTGATGATTCTGGCCACCAAAGAATATTAAAAATGCACCAGTAAAGAACACTGCAGAACAGGCCAATTTTTACTATTGAAGAGAGAGAGAGAAAAAAAGAAAGGGAGGAAAATGGGGAAGGAGAAGAGAAACTTGTTATTTCATTCAAATCAAGTCTAGAACACCAAAGAGATACCATGGGCCTTACCATTGTTATCTTTGTGTTCAAAGACTCATGTATCACACATGCACAGATGCTCTACCAGTAACTACCCAGGAACCTATAATTAATACTAAAACCAGTTTTTATTTAACAGACGTTGACCGATGCAGTGATAGGATGGGTAGAGCGTTCGGGTCGTTACTTCATGTTTGATGCTTGGTGTCACTCATATGCGCCTCCTAGTGTTGATCCTGCACAAGGCATCAGGAATGAGAGTGGTTACAATGAAAATGGAATCTCAACTATCAGTTTTGTGAGAAACAGAATTTCTAAAGATACAGGATATGTAAGTAATTTTGCTTGTCTTATGTGTATGTGTGATTTTGTGTGTAATAAATACACACATGCATGCATGCATACATGCATGCATGCACACATGCATGTGCACATGTGCACACAAGCACATATATGCATACATGTAAGCACATACACACATTTTATTTGTATATTTATTTATGTATTTATTTATTTTAGTGCCATTTTCAGCATGATGGTGTGGTGATTATTCTGTGACCAGTGCAAAAAATTGAGGCCCTTATGTATGTCCTTATAACTATTTTACAATGATCAAAGAATATTCATACTATAGTCAATATTGTAAATGTTTCTTGCTTCCTGCTGACATGTTACAATGTGCTGGTGAAACTGTTAGGGTTACCTAACAGTTTTACTATGCACATTGTATTCCAGAGAAATGTGCTTTTACCATGTACTGTAAGTGTAGATGCAAAAGAGGCAAATTTGCAGTCAAACTGTAAAATACCTCACTTATTTGTGGTTGCTGGGATTGATTCTCAGATCCCAGCCCTGTCTCTTAACCTGCCACTCTGGATTTGTTCCTCTTAGCCCATGGGGCTTAGCATATTTGATCTTAAACTATGTTTAGAGTCTGCCTCCACCACTTCCACACCAAAATCATCCCATTTCCTGACCACTCTGAGACTGAAAAAATACTTCCTAACATCCCTGTGGTTCATCTATGACTTTAACTTCCAACAGTGTCCCCAACTTCTCATTTCTTGCCTCTTACACAGCCTATCCTGTCTACCTTATCAATTCCCAGTATTTTGTATGTTCTTATGTCCTCTCTGGTTCTTCTGTCCTCTTGTGTCATCAAGTCCAGTTCTCTTTGGTTTTTGTCTTAGCTCATACCCCTCAGCTCAGGAACAAGCCTTGTTTCATAGTTCTGCACTTTCTCCCATTTCTTAACTTTTTTTTTGTGCACATTCCATACTGGTGCTGCATACTCCAGGATGAGCCTAACATGTGTTGTATAAAGGCCTGGAATGACTTCTTGCTGAGATTCCTAAAAGCTACTCTTAGATTTGCCAGATGAGCTTTGACTGTAAAGATTCAGCTTATGCGAGCCTCTGGCATTTTACTGGGCACTATGATTACCCCTAGGCCTTTCTCTTTGAGTGAAGTCTGCAGCCCCTGTACCCGAGTCTGTATCCCATTTCCAGTCTTGCTCCTTCCCCAGTCTTCATGATCTTGCATTTAATGGGGTTGAATTCAAGCAGCCACTTACCTGACCACTCTTGCAATTTGTCCATATCCCTTTAGGAGCCTTTCTTTGTCCTCCTTTGCTTTTATTCTCCTCATTAGTTTTATATCATCAGCAGACAGATATATCTGAATCAATCCCATCTTGGTTTCATTCACTTAAACCAGTAACTACTAGTCCAATACTGATTCTTGCAGAACTCTGTTAGTTCCTCTTTCCCATTCTGATGTCTTTTTTCCTGACAATCACTCTTTGCTTCCTTTCCCTAAGATGCTCTTTAATCCACTGGAATATTTTTTTTTTTCAACAAACCAGCCGTATCCCACCAAGGCAGGGTGGCCCAAAAAGAAAAACGAAAGTTTCTCTTTTTAAATTTAGTAATTTATACGGGAGAAGGGGTTACTAGCCCCTTGCTCCTGGCATTTTAGTCGCCTCTTACAACACTCATGGCTTACGGAGGAAGAATTCTGTTCCACTTCCCCATGGAGATAAAAGGAAATAAACAAGAACAAGAACTAGAAAGAAAATAGAAGAAAACCCAGAGGGGTGTGTATATATGTGCTTGTACATGTATGTGTAGTGTGACCTAAGTGTAAGTAGAAGTAGCAAGACGTACCTGAAATCTTGCATGTTCATGAGACAGAAAAAAGGACACCAGCAATCCTACCATCATGTAAAACAATTACAGGCTTTCGTTTTACACTCACTTGGCAGGACAGTAGTACCTCCCTGGGTGGTTGCTGTCTACCAACCTACTACCTAGATCCACTGGAATATGTTCCCTGTTATTCCTAACTGAATCTCAAGTTTTTGAACCGGTCTCTTGTGTAGGAAGGCTTGAACATGTGCACAAAAGCTAAAACAGTGACATGCTGACTGACTTAACAAACATACATGCAGAATTCACAAGCCTATCAAGGAGTCACAATTCAGTACAACTTTCATCAACAGTTCAGTCCATACATCATGACACTGAACAGTCTATACACACACGCACATGCTCACGCACGCACGCGCACAAGGAGGAAGAGGAGTAGAAGATGTAACACTAATGATAAGGAACTAGAGAAGTTTTGAAGTGTTCAGAAAAATATATTACAGTCTGTGGGGCTGTTGAAGAATCTACGTTAGTGAAATATGGATACCAATATCCAACTGGTTTTCTGCCTCGCCTTCGTGGCATATACACTATTAAGGTTTACAGTAGACTGCTTCAAAATTTTTTATAATTTTTAGTGTTGTTTAAAATCACTAGTGTACTCAAAATATATTTTTGGTTTCATTTGTTTTTCAGGATCTAAGCTTTACTGATAATGATTGTCTCTACATGATGTTCCCTACTAAAGGTGGGACTGTCAACTATGTCAATAAGAGAATACGAAAACATGAAGCAGTTCCTACAATATCCAGTGAAAGAGTCTGCATACGCTCTTGTTCCAAGTTTGGTTAGTACATACCAGTACTGTATAAAATTTGCTCGAGTGGCAAGTATGACTGGTAAAGAATCTTTTGTGGATTGAAACATCAAGCAATAGTTAGATTATATTGTGCTCTTGGGAGATTCTGAAGAGAAGTTGCAGAGATTGGTGGATGAATTTGGTAGGGTGTGCAAAAGAAGAAAATTAAAGGTGAATACAGGAAAGAGTAAGGTTATGAGGATAACAAAAAGATTAGGTGATGAAAGATTGAATATCAGATTGGAGGGAGAGAGTATGGAGGAGGTGAACGTATTCAGATATTTGGGAGTGGACGTGTCAGCGGATGGGTCTATGAAAGATGAGGTGAATCATAGAATTGATGAGTGGAAAAAGAGTGAGTGGTGCACTTAGGAGTCTTTGGAAACAAAGAACTTTGTCCTTGGAGGCAAAGAGGGGAATGTATGAGAGTATAGTTTTAAAAACCAACGCTCTTATATGGGTGTGAAGCGTGGGTGATGAATGTTGCAGCGAGGGAAGGCTGGAGGCAGTGGAGATGTCATGTCTGAGGGCAATGTGTGGTGTGAAATATAATGCAGAGAATTCGTAGTTTGGAAGTTTAGAGGAGGTGCGGATTACCAAAACTGTTGTCCAGAGGGCTGAGGAAGGGTTGTTGAGGTGGTTCGGACATGTAGAGAGAATGGAGCGAAACAGAATGACTTCAAGAGTGTATCATCTGTAGTGGAAGGAAGGTGGGGTAGGGGTCGGCCTAGGAAGGGTTGGAGGGAGGGGGTAAAGGAGGTTTTGTGTGCGAGGGGCTTGGACTTCCAGCAGGCATGCGTGAGCGTGTTTGATAGGAGTGAATGGAGACAAATGGTTTTTAATACTTGACGTGCTGTTGGAGTGTGAGCAAAGTAACATTTATGAAGGGATTCAGGGAAACCGGCAGGCCGGACTTGAGTCCTGGAGATGGGAAGTACAGTGCCTGCACTCTGAAGGAGGGGTGTTAATGTTGCAGTTTAAAAACTGTAGTGTAAAGCACCCTTCTGGCAAGACAGTGATGGAGTGAATGATGGTGAAAGTTTTTCTTTTTCGGGCCACCCTGCCTTGGTGGGAATCGGCCGGTGTGATAATAAAAAAAAAATAAATATATTTTTTCGTAACAAAAAGTCTGGTTCAGGGATGAAATGTTTCAGAATGATTCAGTCACTATAATTTAACCCGTAAATGGTCCAAACGTATATATACGTTTTTTCAACATTTGAAAGTATGTAAAAAAAAAGTAGATCTTCTTTTTGTTTTTTTACATTTGAAAATGTGTAAAAAACTTTTATCTATTTTTTTTTTTGTTATATTTGAAAATATGTAAAATAAACGTAGATCTACTTTTGTAGCACTACACATGTGAACGTAGATCTGCTTGGACCGTTTACAGGTTAAAGGAGAAACAAATACTGTAGTTAAAAAAACAGGGAACAAGTGGGATTTGAACCCATGGTGAGTGAGTCCTAACACACTGGCCTTGAGTTTCAGGACTCACTGGCCATGGATTCAAACCCCAACTGTTCCGTGGTTTGTTTGCAGTCGTGTTATTATGATTTTGTGAGTCAAATACTTTTAATGGTTGAAGGATCTGTGTTCCGGATAGAGTATTTTTTAACGCACCAGCTGTATCCCACCAAGATAGGGTGACCTAAAAAGAAAACGAAAATTTTTCTTTTTATATTAATAACAGATAGAGTATTTCTTCCACTATATATTGCCCCTCTCATATCCTTGTATATGAAGAATAAGTTACAGTACCATGGCTGGAACAGTTTACATCTAACCCATAATTGGAGAGAAACATTAGACAAGGTTTCAGGCTGTCCTAGAACATTATGAAGTTATAACTGCATTTGTGACTTGATGATTATACAGGATGGACTGAAACACTGTCTGATGTTTCCTGTTTTGAGTATTGGCTAGTTGTGTACTTTTGCTGGTGTGCTCAGAATAGTTATAGATAATGTTTTCTGTGACTAGTATATAGTCTGCTGGGTATCTAGCTTTGGTAGTACTGTATATATATTCAGTTTGTCTAGCATAGTTAACACATGCATTTATCTAGTATGATTAGCATATATTTATCTAGTTTGCTAATGTATAATGCCTTTATATTCAAACAATAATAAATTAGCCTAACTATACTTAAACAGGTTATGAGACATATTTTGGCCAGTAAAACTATAGTAGAGGGTTACCTTCTAGCTGAAAAAAAGATATGAATGGCCCAATTATACCTGAACTGCTGAAGAGGTGCTCCTTGACTTGTGATTGGGCTATGTTCTGATGATCCCATCATAAGTAGAAAATATTGTAAGTCAAATATGTTAAGTAAATGAACACAAATGCAACTAATATGACATTTTATTGTGGCAATGTTTCACTCTCCAGGAGCTTTATTAAGCTGTTACGGCTTGATAAAGCTCCTGGAGAGCAAAATGTTGCTACAATAAAATTTCACATTAGTTGCATGTGTGTCCTTTTACTTAACATATTTTGGTAATTCTACCAATATTAATACAAGTTGAATATGAATGTGATATGATAGATAAATAAGTAAATACAGTAAATAATTACTGTAACTAAATACCATAAATATAAAGTTTATCTTATAAAGTTTATCTTATCAGTAAATGTACAGTACTCTACAGTACAAAAAAAAAGTGTACAGTTTTATCACACCTTTGTACAGTCAAAATATTGTCAGTTGAACCATTGTAAAGCAAGGAGTATTTGTATGTATTTGTGGCTATATGATATTCATGATATTTTTATTGAATATATCAAATAAAAAGTACATCACAAACACAGGTGGGGCTGATGGAAGGCCATTTGTGTACACCACCACACCTCGTCCACCTCAGCTGCACTATGAAGTTGAAGTCATGTTGACGAACGTTGGCAGTAATTACCAGATCCCAGAGCCGGGGTCGACAGCTTGGCGACAACTGTCTGACAGTGTGCGGTCCTCCATGGAAGGCGTACTGAAAACTGTTCCAGGATATCAAGTAATTGATATCACCAACCTGTAAGTTAGTTTTTTATGTATGGTACTTGAAATAATGTACTATAAGAAGGTGAACCTGACATTACACACATTACATAAGTGGGTAAGTAAGTTTATTCAGGTACAGACAAATACAGTTGCATAGGTTATAATACATAGCAGCATATGAGTAGTGGGTTAAATATTGTGTAAGTGTTTGTAATACTGTTATATAATTTTGCAATATCAGTAATAGTAAAGAATAAGAACACACAGTACCGTGACTGGAACAATACATAAATAACCTGCACATAGAATGAAACTTATGATGACATTTCAGTCTGAATGTGTCATGAATGGTAGGATTGGGAAAATGAAAATAGTTAAAACAGGAAGGGCTTGAGCATCCAGCAGGCTTGCATGAGGATATTAGATCACAGTGAGTGGCAACATCTGGTTTTCAGGATTTGAAATGCTGATGGAGTGTGAGAAAGATGACATTTATGAAAGGATTCAAGGAAACTGGTTAGCCCAACTATTTTTCAGAGTGGGGATGCTGCAGTTAGGAGGATCATGGGAATTGTGATGTCCATGCACTTCTGGAAAGACACCCATTAAATGAAAGATGTGGTTGTGTTCTCTTCTTTGGGTCACCCTACCTTGGTGAGAGATAGCCATTTGGTAAAAAAAAAAATCCCAGAGGCAGCCTTTCTTACTAAAGTCTTGTAGTCCTTTTTCAGAGGAAGAAATTGTGACTCAAGTGTATTAGGAATTATTGACCTGTCATTTCATACTGATGCATTTTATTTAGAATATATATTAACCCCTTCAGGGTCCAAGGCCAAAATCTGAAGTGGTGCTCCAGTGTCCAAGAAATTTTGAAAAAAAAAAAAATTTATTTTTTCTTACAGAATTAAAGAGCATATTTTTGTGAAGGTAATAAGACAAAATTTTTTTTTTTTCTGATCAGTACTTACCGAGACACAGTGCCAAGAAGTTTGTCCAAAATGATGTGGTGGCGGCAACATCGACAAATTCCACATACGCCCATTACTTTATTTAGCGGTTTTTATAGTTTTTTCTTTTCTTTTCCAATTTTTTTCTTTTCCTACTAACATTTGGGGCCTGAGAGACCAATACTGTATATAATGTATATAGATAAACTCACTGTATTGAACACAATAACTGCACTAAAGTTATTATCATATTATTGTTTACCACTGTTGTTTATTACAATAAACATGCACAAATCTTGTATAATACTAATGTTCTATCATATATTTACATATTTACAATCACTGGACATGGTTTTAGAACTGCTGGAGCTTGTGGAACTCCTTGAAACAAGGCACCATGCACAGAGGCACCTTACATTCTTCACACACAAACCGAGTGTCTTTGCGTCTTTGTTGCCGTCGTTTTGTTTGTGCACAGATGATGCATCTCTTCTGAGCAAATTTCTTCTGAGTTGAAGGAAGCTGTATTATGAAATGATCACCTTCCCTCCACAAACGCTTGGGTATATCCTGAGTAATTCGAGGACCTTGTTGTATAGCAGGTGTTCTTACCTGGTACTTCATTATGAGTTGTCTGACAACAGACAAACAAAATTCACCATACGGTGGTCTGTTGCCAGTCTTTATTTGGTACATATTACATGCATTGAGCATTGAAATGTCCATGAGATGGAAGAAAAGTTTCATGTACCACTTGTAACTCTTACGAACACAATCAACAAAACCAATCTGCATGTCACATTTGTCAACCAAGCGCATGTTTTGTGTATAATCAATCACTGTCACTGGTTTTCGAATACGTTCATTAGTCACTCGATCAACTTTGCCACTGTCTTGCATTTCATTACGGTGAATGGTTGTCAACAATGTGACATCTCGTTTGTCATGCCACCGTAATGCCATGATGTCATTGGCAGTAAACACCTGCATGTCATCACCACGAGCACCTGCATTGAGCCTGGGCATATGTTTACGATTAGAACGCACTGTGCCACACACATCTGTCTTGTTCACTCGCATGAAATCACTGAGTAATGGGCTTGTGTACCAGTTATCGGTGTATAATGTATGCCCCTTACCAAGATAAGGTGCCATCATGTTTCTCACTACGTCACCTGAGATACCCAATAACATCTTGGTATCTTTCAATGTTTTACTTCCCGTGTATACAACAATATCCAACACCAGGCCACTGTCACAGTCACAGAGTACAAACAGTTTTATACCAAAGCGTTTCCTCTTGCTCGGTATATACATGTACTGCTTAAATGACAGTCTACCTTTGAACAAAATCAAAGACTCGTCAATTACAAGATTCTTGAATGGATAAAAGTATATGCTGAACTATTGTTTGAGATACATGAAAACATTTCTAATCTTGTATAACCTGTCACTTCTGTCAGGCCTGGTTTTGTCAGAGAAGTGCAACATACGTAACAGTAAGATAAACCTGTTCACTGGGATGATTTCACTGAAGACCGGGGTAGAAATTAGCCGATCTGTGGACCAGTATGCTTTTATATTATGCTTATAGACATGAGGCATAAGCATTATTGTTGCAAAAAGCAAATACATTCTGCAACAGTCGTCTTCTTTCCACCTGTGTAGTCTTGACTGTGGTGATATGATCATATTTGCCATGGTTGTACTCAAAATACTTATTACTTTCCCTGACAATAGTTTCCATCAATGGCTGGTCAAAGAATAATTCAAAGAATTCCAGTTCATTGGCCGTGGTTCCAAGGGGACAAGTAGGTAGAATTCCACTTTGAGAGTCATCAAAGTGGTGGGGCTTGGGAACAAAATTGGGATTTTGCTGCCAATCCCAGATACAGTTTGCTGGTGGATACTGGACATCATAGGCTGGTTGTGTGGGTGGTTGTGGTTGTGGCGGGCTGGTGGCTGACGCTCCGCTTTGTCCTTGAACTGACGAGTCAGCAGCATGGGTCCCAGCCTGGGCTGGTGAGTCACGCATGGCGGTGCCACTACCATCACCACTACCACCATCTTCTGATGCCTGTGGTCTATCCATGCCAAGTGTAGCCACATCATCCTCACTATCACTATCTAAACCTGGTGTAGGGCCAGGGGTTGTACTCCGGGATGTACTCCATCCCCTGGGCACAGCATAGGATACACTACCCAAGCGCATGCGGCGGCGAACATACCGACACTTCACTGGTGAATATGATTCCTCACGATCACTACTCGAATGATCGTCAAGCGCAATAAAATCACAATCCACGTCACTATCATCATCATTACTGAAGTCAGAGGCCTGGCCACGCGAAAATATTAGTTTTCTCTTGCGTTGAGGCACAACCGACCATGAGTCACGAGTGCCCACACCAGAGGTAGAAGGTTGAGGATCGTCAGGGTTTTCTGCACTATTATCGATATCCTGGTCATTCCTTTCGGTCACTAACTGATCAAAGCCATAGAATTCGTCTTCATTTCCACTTCCATCAGTGTCAGAACTATCAGATAGGAAGAGGAGAGTCCCAGTTTTCCGGCATGGTGAACAAGGGTAACTGAGCTGGCGTTCCCACAATGCTATGCGGGCGCCTAGATTTTTTGTTTATGGCGCACACCCACCATGCAAACCCGTTCTCTCACATGTAGGCCTATGAGTGCTTTCACGCTAAATTTGATGGTGCTAGAATTTTGGCGTAGATCTACGGTTTGGACACTCAGCGTGAAGCCGTAGATCTACAGGACGGACCCTGAAAGGGTTAAAATGAGCTGGATGGCAGGCTACCTATATAAAACATAACTAAGTCATAGAGAAGGCCGAGAGATTATTTTCAAATACATATTACTAACATTCCGGTATTCAGCATGATCGAATAGTTTGTACGTATTATTGTTATTCAAAGATTTATTTCCACATGATACACTGTACAGGGATGGGTGTCATTTGGTTGTGCATGTAGAAAGCCTATGGTTATGCAGAACATTTCGGGCAAGTGTAAACCTGTCTTGTTTATTTCTGAAAATGTTAAGCACCAGTAGAGAACACATATACAGAAACTTTCCCATTCATAAAGAATAAAGATTTTATTTCTTCGAAAAGGATGCAGTGTGTAATTACAATTTTGGTTTGATAAGTACAAAGAAAGCCACTATCATCCAGGGGTATTTTGGGCAGACTAATCCTAGTACATTCATGGGCTGATTTCATTATTTTCTATGTTGCCTTTGAACTATAATAACTAGGTACAGGATTATCAAAATATGCATAATAAATAATAAGTAGTCTTTCTCATATTATTTATGTTACATTAGGTTGTACACGTAATTTCAATATTTCATTCCTCTTCAAGGGGGGCTCCTTGGCGTGGTGAAGAGGCTCTTGGTCTGAGGAATTAGACCTGTCGGTCTACTTCCTCAGACCGAACCTAATTACCCCCCAATCCCCCGTTCCCTATCCCATCCTTCCCTTTTTCCTTTCCTCCTCCTCCTCCCCACCCCTCCCTTTTGCTCTTCCTTTTTGGCCTTTTTTTTTTTTTTTTTTCCACAGGCACGCTAGTTCCTAGGTAGGGGAAAGGGCACCGGGGTCCATCTCATTCCGTTGAGGTTCTTGGCGGTGGCGTAGTTTGCCGTGGAATCTGGATTGCCTGGGGATGTCCTGATCCCTCTCCAGTATCCCGGAGGGTGGCTTTGGGTGTCTCTTGGGCGACGGGTGTATCTCTGGAAGCCACCTTTCGGATTCCGGGGGTGGTGGCCGAAGGAGGTATGCTTTGTGGCGGATTTCCGGCCGCCCTCTCTTTTGTCCACCGAGGTAGCTCGGCAGATGTGAGGTTGCTATCCCGGATTGCCGGTTTACTGGCATGATGGGTAGGGTATGGCACGGGTTCCATGCTGCATCTGCGCTACTTGCGGTGCTGAGGTCCTCTTGGGCGCGGAGGGAGATTTCTGGCCCTTTCATTCCTCCTAGGAACTATCCCTCCCCGGTCCCCCCTTTTTTTATTCTTTTTTTTCTTTTTATTTTCTTTTCTTTCTTTTTTTTCTTAAAAACAAAAAGAA